ATATCATATGTCAGAAGAATATAAGTTACATTCTTGTAATAATTAAGAGTTAGTACCATCACTTATGCTTGTTTCCACTTGTGGGAATTCGATAACTGCGTAAGCTTCGAGGGCATTGATCAGAGGTGGAAGAGTAGACTTTGGAGTTCTTACTAGCTCTAAATGGCAACCTCTCGAATCACATTGCATTGGTTCTTCTGTGAATAATGTAAATACCTTTAACTTGGTAGGCCTAAAACCTGAATGGTTAAAGTTTCCTTTCAAGATAACGTCGAATTCCCTTGTCTCGTTGGCTTCGAGGGCTTGGATCTCCGCAAAATGCATGTACAAGTACACTTGAGCATTAGAGGGCCTTGGTGTCCAGGTGATGACCAGCGGCCCACTGGTGTTTTTTGGCGTGGCAGCACTTCGGAGTGCAGATTTTGGTACCTCATATGCGTTTGAATTGTTTATGTTGAGGTCGGTTGTTATCTGCGCATATGAAGAGCCAAAGAAGGGGAACCAAATACGATCACGGACGTCATCAGCATACCTGCACTTAAGTGTATTAGCCAAAATGAATTGAACAGATGCAAACCAAATGACAATCATAATTTAATATTAACAATTAATGTACAATAATATTCTTTTTATTGTTAAAAATCCCATATATGAAGTTAAAGATGAGATATTAATAATAAATAAAAGACATGTGCCAATCAACTTATTATCAATTGTTTTTGAGTTAGAAACCTATAAAACTTAACATTCATCATATTTGAAAAGGAATGAGAATGAGCATAAACTTAACTTCATATTTTGAAAAAAAAAGGTTAGTTGTTGCGCGCCCCTCATTGTATCAAAAAATTGGAACACAATTTTGAGTTGTGGAGTCTAATCTCTCTTTGAGTTTTTTGGAATTAGAGTATGCATAAAGTTGTAGGTTTTTCACTTATGTATACCTTCTGGTCGTATTTCTTTTGATGTAAAATTTTGAATCTAGTGAGTTTTAAAAAGTAAACATCGAAATCATCAATTTTAAGATATCTAACCTATCCTTTGTAAGATCATAGTTTGTCATCTAATTGCTAGTTTGTATAGATTTGCATAAATCTCTACAAGAAAGCCTATCATTTACAAACACAAAAAGAAAAAAAAAACAGAAATGTATTACAATACTAAAATGTGTTTGAAGGAAAACATTATTCTAACATAAAATGATAACCACAAAAAAAAGGAGCAACGTAAAATAGAATTATAACACTGAAATCACATTGAATCACGTTGACTTACCTTATAAATCCCGCGGTATTGTTAAGATACACCCGGAAAGACAACTTGAGTGCACCAGATTTTGTAACATAAGTATTATTTCTCAATGGCCGTATTTCGATGGCTGAAATTATTGGAAACGTTTCTCCGGTCTTATGAAGACAAATATCCAAAGAGTTTGACCTAGCTTTGTGTATGATCTCCTCTTTTGTGCCATTTTGTCTTCCTTCCAAATCCATACTTAACCACTTGTTGGGACCAATATAGATATCAAACTTTGGATCACGATTAAGACCATCATAATTCCCATATACAGAGCTAACTGCGATAAGATAGTTTGTGCCACTCTTGACATCTAGACTATAACAGTTTCGCCTTCCTTCAGGAAAGTATCTCAGGGTCAAATATTGTTTTCCTAATATTTTGTTGAGACTTTTATCGACTCTACTACTTTTCCCTGTTTGGATGAATGCAGAATCCGATGTGAATGTCAATCCATTAAATGAATCATCGTAAGGAGATTCATCAACAGGTAATCCACAATTCAAACTGATGAATCCTGTTCAAAAAAAAGGAAGGAATATTTATATGTACATATATAAGATATCTAAAGACTAAAGTCAAAGGAAGATCTTTGATGATGTATATTATTACCTTCTTGTGTCTGGGCTCCAACTATGACGGCAAAGGTTCCAATCATCGCCAGCAAAAAATGGCTCCTCATGTTTTCTCTCAGATTCATGTTTCTATGAAAGATATGAAAATGAAAAAGACTTCATGATTATGGATATAACAAAAAAATCAATCTGGCAAAAAACAAATAATGCATAGTTGTGTAAAATTCGTGGACAAATTCCACGATAAGTCTTCATTTAGTCGCCAGCCACGAATTAGCGAATGCAGAAAACACTCGAGAGTCCGTCCTTTCATGGCTAACTCTTTGGTTTGGACCTGGTCCTAAAAGTGGATATAATACATAGGAAAATAACCTATTTTCAGAATTATTAATCAAATTAAACGTCATGCTCGCGCTTTATTCATGCCCCACTATATTACATAAATATTGCAGATCAAATTAACCAAAAGTTAGTTCTTTATATTAATAAACTTTACGAAAACACTTCAATTTTGCAGTTGCTAATAACTTGATTTGTTGATTTGGTTTCTATCTAATTCATCCAAATGGTCCAACAGTAACAAGAAAAATAAAGTTTTTAAAATTTAAAATCAATATACCTGTTGTGCAAATGAAAGAACCAAAATAAAAGAAGAACTCAGTAAAAGAGGGACAAAGCTGTTTATTTCTGTTTATAAGCATTTGTAAAAACAAGCACTTTATTACACTTTTCTTAGTATTTTAGCACTTTCAGTTTTTTACTGTCTTTTTGTCATTTAGCAAGTTAAAGACGAATTGTATTTCCACCTCTGTATAAACAAGACTGTAAAAAGTTAAATTGATCATAAACAGTAGCAAAAGTGGTACATCTCCAAAGACAATCTCAAATTTTCAAGTATGAAGTTTTGTTCACTTTAAAGGCAACTTTAAAATCTTAAATTTTGTGGTTTAATTTGAATAATGAAACATTATATTTGAGGTTTTATTGTTCAAAACCTAAAATTTGAAATTTACAGTTTTTTATTTGCATTTTAGTACTTACAGTTATATATTTTATAAATAATCAATTTATTTTTTTCTGTTTATCATTCTAATTCAAACAATTTTATATTTCATGAATATTTCACATTTATCTTTATAATTTTTATAAAGTTATAAAGTTATATGATTTTTATATAAATTTTTATGCATGTTTATGTTATTTATAAAGTTAAAAAAATTTTATTAATAATGATTAAAAGTAAAAACTATAATGCAATATTTTGAATTTTGTGAGATTAGATTTGAAATTTTGTTTTTGGAGACAAACACCATCAAACCTCAAATTTGAGGTTCTTTTTGGAGATGCGCTAATAGTACTAAACTGTTAAAAAGCCAATGAAATCTCAACTAAGTGCTAAAGTATGGAAATATAATACACTTTTTGACTATATGCATGAATTTTTTTTTTTTTTTTAGTTTAGCATCAATTTTACTGACCTGAAAAAACTTGGCTATCTAGAAATACAAAAAAAAATGAGCTTCGCAATTTTCATATATGGAAGCTTTGACTTACTAATTATTCAACCTTTCCCATTAGTTAAAATAGAGAGAATTAATTACATAAAAAACATTTTTTAAGTTTAGAATTATAAAATAAAGCATTTTATGAGAGTATAAAGTTTTTCTTACTCTTTATTCTACTATTTAATTTTCTTAAAATTCTCTTGTACACAAAACGGTGGATTGAAGAACATTGATGAGTTAAAAAAAACAATAAAAAACTGAGTAGAGTATTTATTATCCTCCACCTGAATGTTTTCTAATTTTGTATAATGTAAAATATATTAAAAAAAAATATAGTAGATGATAATTCTATTTTGATACATTTTAATATACATTTTTAAGATCTATTTTACTATAATCTTAAAAGAAACAAAAAACAATAAAAAATTTCATGCAAAATTTAGATTATGGATATGAAAAATTTCAACAGAAAGACATGATTGATGCGAATATGATAGCATGGACACATTTTTATTAACAGATCAGCATGCACATAAACATGTTCACACACTGATTATTCATGTTATTGTTCTTGAAATTAGAGAATCGACAAACTTTCATAGATAAAAAGTAAATATGTAACATGAAATATTATATGCATATACTGATGTGGACATACTTTTTACACAAAATCTATTATTATTGATCCAAATGAATTTGTCTACATAGTCTAAGAAATACATACTTTTTACATAAAATATATTATTGTTGATCCAAATGAATTTGTCTACAAAGTTTAAGAAATACATAAAAAAAAATTAACACGGTAAAATAATAACACGATAAAATAATAATACGAATAATTAGTTCAAAGACATGTTTATGTGCATGCTGATCTGTAAATGACAATTTGTCCATGCTATTATGTCTACCTTAATCATGTCTTTTTATCTAATTTTTCATGTCCATGAAGATCTAAATTTTTGAATGATCATATTTTTGTTTTTTTTATAATAATATAAATTTCAAAATGTGGCAAAAATAGAATTATTGTCCATTGTAACAAGGAAAAAAAATGTTTAAGCAATGGATAGAAGCTCTGAATAGAGAAATGGATCAGGTGGTGTAGAAGAAACAAGTGCAGATCAAATGAAACAAATGCGGATTAAGTGGTCTAAAATATATTTTTAAATAGAAAAACTGATAAAAAATAATGCATGACATGGGAAAAAATATCATTACATTATCAAACGCAAATTTCAGATAAAATTACTTATTAGAATAGAAATATTTATAATACATGATATTTAATATAATTTTTTATTTTACATATATTTGATATATAATTTTAAAAAGTAAATGGTAAAGTATTTATAGAATTTTTATTTCGTCCTCTAAGTCAGATTAAATATATTTTCTATCCCTCTCTTTAAAATGAAAAGTGTATGTTTCCTAACGAATCTCAGCTATCACTTGTTCTGATTCCACATATTGATCATTTTTTGCATTATATCTGATTTATTGTTTTAGTTATTGCTGAAGATTGGATAATTAAGCCTTTTGATGAGACTTATTTTCAGTTGAGTTTCCTAGCTCAGAACGAATCCGCCACGCTTTCCTGTATAAATCGGACACAAGTTTAAGATTGCTGAAAGTCTGATTTTATTCCAAATAAAACTTTATACATCATAACTTGATTTTTACCTGACAACTGTTCCCCTTCATCACACTAGCCAACAAGACAATTTCTGTTCATCGATCAGAAATAAACAGCTTTGTCCCTCTTTTACTGAGTTCTTCTTTTATTTTGTTCTTTCATTTGCACATCAGGTATATTGATTATAAATTTCAAAAACTTTATTTTTCTTGTTACTGTTGGACCATTTAGATGAATTATATAGAAACCAAATCAACAAATCAAGTTTTTAGCAACTGCAAAATTGAAGTGTTTTCGTAAAGTTTATTTATTAAGATGAGTATGGCGGGAACCCTGAGGGAAACATATGTTTTCTTTTTTAGGTTTAGGAAAATTAATCTTTACGAATTTTTAGTGGAATCGGATTTTAAGGCATTATAAATTTGCAATTATAAATCTTGTTCAAACTCAACCTGATCAATAAGGTATTTAGTATATGTATTCTAGTTTTCTATTTTTAGTTAAATTTATTTCTGATTGTTTCAAGTTCTCTTTACTACATAAGATTGCTAACCAACATATAATAAATAATAATAATAATAATAATAATAATAATAATAATAATAATAATACTAATAATAATAATAATAATAATAATAATAATAGTTTATTATCCCACTGGTTGTCTATCAGTGGTCTCGTCCTCATGGTAGAGATTTCGACCAATTTGTACCGAATACTAGATTTTGCACACTTAGTTTTTTTAATGTTATTATATTGATAGAAATTATATTTAAACAGTTATATTTATTTAGATATTAATTTATTGTAATAAACTTTATCAAAAGTAATTCAGTTTTAATTTCAAAATTTATATAACAATTTTGAGGTTTTAACGATCTTATCAACCAAAATCAGCCTAAATCCACAATTTTTATATCAAAATCAACCAAAAAATATAACAAACTAATTAATAGTAGTTAATTATGATTAACACGAAGATAAAGTATATCAATTACTATTTAATAAAAATAGTATCAACACAAAAAATTAGTATATGTTTCTTCTCTAAGAAAAGAAAATAAGATTTTTCATCATCTAGAAAATAAGATCTTCAATTTCATTCTTTTTATATCAGTTTTACAAGAAAACTGAAAAAAATGTTAAATTTTACTTTCTTTCTTTAATTGATTACATATTATTTTATATCTAAGTAAATTTGTATTTTGTTTAAGAAATGTTTTTAATTTAATATTATTTTAGTTTTTTGTTGTTAATAAAAATTTAATATAGAATTTATTTATTCTTTCATATATATTTTATTAACAATAATATTAGTTTAGGAAACTTTATTAATTTTGAATATTGATGTAGACCAATAGAATTGTCCTTTTTAATCATATGTGGACACTTTTAAAGGCATTTAACTTTAATTTTTATTAGTAATACTTGATTTTGTGTTCACGTTACGCATAGTTATTTGGTTGATAAAACTTATATGCAATCAATTATATTTATTAAAATTTAAATTTTATATATTAGTGTTTTAATAATTTTTATATATTTTATATATTAGTTTTTTAATAATATATTAAAAATATTATGGTGTTAATGTAATAATTTTTATGTAAATTATGAGGTTTTTAACAGTTTTGTTTTGAATCTATATACAGTATCTTATATTTCCAAAATGTATTATTTGGTCAAACACTTATAAGTTAATATACCCAAACCAACTAAAATTTTACAAATTAATCAAATGCTACATTTTAAACATAATATTGATGATAAAGTATTATAGATTCACTTCTTTAAATCATGAAAATTATTTTCATTATTTTCACTTTTATTCCAATTATATATGTGTTTTTTAAATTATATATGCAAAATCTAGTCTCTCAAAAGATGGAAGAGAAAGATTAACTACTCTCTCGTGCTGATTATATTATTAATAAGGCCATTTCCACGATGACTAATTTAAATCAGACGATTTCGACCAGTTAGTTATTTAAAACTCTCACCTACTATTAAAACTTACCACAATCATATATAAATATAATATAGAAACCTCCACGAAATTTAAAATACGTTTGAAACTGATCAGTGGATACATAATAAATCTTAAAAATGCATATATTATACTAGTGGACCGACTAATTAATCAAATTAAATTAAAAAGAAAAGAGATAAATTCAGATTATATATGTCTAAACGATACACCTAAGATTGGAGTTTGGAAAAAAAATCAATCTCTTTAGTCTGTTTGCAATAATTTTTGAAATAACTTTGTAAATGATGTTACAGCAGGAGATAAGCCTGTAGTCTTTCATTTCTTTTACATTCTTTTTTTAGTTTTAAGTTATTCAATTTATTATTTCATTTTTCTAAATTTGTATTTATTAAATTATATTGGTTTTGCCTATTTATTTATAATTAGAAGAAGTAAAAATAAATATGATAAAACTAAATAAAATCGTATAAAAACCATTAAAATAAATAAATATAATATAACATTAGAATTTGTAATTTTTTATATTTTGAATGTTGATGTGGACCAATAAAATTCTCTTTTAAAATCTTATGTAGACACCATATTCTGAAAAGCATTTAGTTTCAATTTTTATTAGTATAAAATAATAGGATATACTTATGGCTACTGAAATTTTTCACCAAAATTCACATTTAAAAGATATTTCACAACATATGCATCAAGTTACAACAATTCAACTTTAATAACCTACATTAAGAAACGACAGTGATTATTGGCTGAATACTGAAATTATATTCATAGATTAAAAAAAAAAAAAGAGAACTGAGCATGGATAAATACTTCGCCAGCTAGCGTGCTTTAGGGATACCCTCGGTGTATATATCCATGCTGAAGTCTAAAGAACTTTTTGATTCCATATCTCTTGTCTCTCCAATCCTCGATTTTTCGGATATTATACACTCTTTTAGTTCATTTACAACCCGAGACATGCTTGGTCGTCTTGTGGAAGAAAGACTGACACATGACATTGCTATTTCAATGGCCTTCCATACAGAACCGATGTCATAATTTTCGTGGAGGTTTGGATCCATCACACTTCTAAGATCTCCTTTTGTTATCTCAAGACTGATCCATTCTACTAAGTGGGGCTTTTCACGGGATTGTTGAATTATAGGACGGTTTGTAATGATCTCCAACAATACAATTCCAAAGCTGTATATATCACTCTTTTCTGTCAACCAATTTGTTTGATAATACCTGCAACATATCAATTGTTTGTGATCATTAAATATCAAAAGTGATGGTAATTAATGTGTACATATGTAGTAAATACTCACTCAGGATCTAGATATCCGGGAGTGCCAGCAACAACTGTTGATACATATGTTTCATTTCCGATAGGGAAAGATCTCGAAAGCCCAAAATCAGCTAATTTGGCTTGAAATTTTTGGTCCAAAAGAATGTTTGTAGTTTTAATATCTCTGTGAACCATTGGTGGTTTGCATCCTGTGTGTAAATACTCCAATCCTACGTAATAGATATACTATCAGCACTTTTTTGCAGATGAATAGTCTTAGGGTTAATGTCCATTGCAAAACTAATACTATTGAAAGTCATAATTCTTAACTAAATAATTGTCTGAAAGACTGAAACGTTAATGAATAAATTAGTGCCTACCTAGTGCTGCATCCACAGCTATTTTCAGTCGAGTTTCCCAGCTCAGAATGCATCCTCCACGCTTTCCTGTATCAATCAGACACTCTGAAAGTGTGATTTTTATTCCAAGTAAAAAAATGTATACATCATTACAAAGATCAGTTAATATGTGCTATTACCTGACAAATGTTGCTTTAAGTCTCCATTTGGCATATACTCGTAGATGAGGGCCAAGTGTTCTCCTTCATCACAATAACCTACAAGACTCACCAAATTTATATGGTGAACCCTCATAAGTAGTTCGACCTAATTAACCAAAACATCCATCAGCAAGTACTCAAAGTCTAGAAAGTATATACACATCAATTGTATTTCCTTAGAAAATCCTTTGGAAAAAGAGTACCTCTGCCTTGAAATGCTTATAGCCTTGAGACGATGATTGAGAGAGCAGTTTAACAGCTACTTGTTGAGTACCATTAACAAACCCATGATAAACGACACCAAACCCTCCTTCACCGAGAGCTCTTTCCAAGTTATTTGTCATTTCTTGGACTTCAGTATAACTAAACCTAATCTTTTTCGATAGGAATGATGATTCTGACTGATTAGCATGCCCAACATCCGCTGCAGGCATACTTGGTGTAGCGTGTAGATCTACACGGTAAAGTATTTGGTTGTGCAACTAATTAAATCCATTGTTTTTACAACATTTCTAATGATCAATGGCTAGAGACTTACCTGAAGGCACTTTCTTCTTTCGGAAAACGAAAACAAGAGCCACAACCGCCACAAGAACAAGCAGAGAGGCAGCTGATGCAATAGCTGGTAGCAATAATTTATTTTTCTTCACCTTTGGTTTGCATGAACTAAATTTACACAAATTTGGATTCCCTTCAAGTCTACAAGAAACATGTGATACTGAAGTTGTTAATGAACGTGCCAGAGGAAGGACATAACCGAATTTTCAAAGTATACGTATAATTGGCTAATTGCCCCTTCCAGAACCATATTTTTCGATAAATTAATCAACGCGTACATTAGGATATAAGATCGTCTAAAACTATATGTGATCTTATTATCTCTTAATAACACACACTCGTAACGAAAAAGAGCAGTCAAACAATCTACAAAAATATGGTTTCATCGTTTCCTTTCTTACTTGGTATGTGTAATCTTCACGTCCCAAGTTTTTTAGGCATTGTAATTTTTTGAAAGAGCTACCATTTCTAAATGATTAATAAATGCACACCCTTAACGGAAAAAAATAATAATAATAATCTTACGTTAGGACAAGTCCTTCGTTTCGTCTATCAAGAAGAGCTTGAGGAACTGAACCATTAAGATTGTTTCCGCTTAAGTTTCTGTTGAGACGATGATGACCATTATATATATATATATTAGTATATATATATATATACATATATACACGCACAATTCCAACGAAAACTCATGGTCAAAAATGTTCATTCTGCTTTCAAGAAAGCTTACATTAAGGATAGCGATTTCATGCTGGCAAGGAAGGTTGGTATTGGTCCTGTCAAGCTGTTATTTGATAAGTCCCTACGGTTGCATGCAGAAACACACAAAAATTGAAACAAGAGTTTGATAAGCTCCGATCAAAGAGAAAGAAGCAACTAGAGTTTCATTTCTTGCTAAACTGGTTTTTCAAAATTTTATCATATTTAATAGCCTGCATCAAATGATGTAAAACGTTTGTTTTTCGCGCGGTTTGAATAAAACTTAACATTTATCCCAAAAAAAAAAAAAGAAACACACAAAAATTGGCTTTAAGCATAATGTCCGAAAAAGAAGAAAATCTTTGTCTAATTAATAAATTGTAGACATACTTACAGTTCTTGTAATTGCGTCAGATTCTGAAAAATTGGGGCTATGCTCCCAGTTAATCCACTTTCCGACAAATTTCTAGCAAAAAAAAATAACACATACACAATCTTTAGATACGTTAATTTTAAATTAGAGACTACGTTTGTGAATGGCCTTACAAGGAAATGATTCTTGGTGGAGTGGAGACATCTACATAACTGCATCTAAGATTTTCCCAAGAAAAATCTTGAGGGAGACATGGATCTCCTTGCCAACTGATTTTACTTAGTCGATAAGTAGATTTGATGTTCTTGATAGTGGCAACTAATATAAATATTGGAGAATGTAAGAATATCAAATGGAATAATAGAAGTTAATTTCTTGTAATACTTGAAAAGTAAGGCGAGGAACGTACCATCACTTAGGCTTGATCCCACTTGTGGGAAATCAATAACAGTGTAAGCCTCCATAGCATTGATCAGAGGTGGAAGAGTTGAATTCGGAGTTTTTACTAGCTGTAAATTGCAACCTTCTGAATCACATTGCACTGGTGTATCAGTGTATAATGTACTTAGCTCTAAGTACTTAGGTATCTTAAAACCTGAATGGTTAAAATTTCCTCTCAAGATAACGTTGAACTCCCTCGTCTCATTGGCTTTAAGGGCTTGAATCTCCGCGAAGTGCATGTACAAGTACACTTCAGCATTAGAGGGTCTGGGTGTCCAGGTGATGAGCAGTGGCTCACTGGCATTTCTAGGCGTCGCAGCACTCATGAGTACAGTTTTTGGTACCTTATATGTTTCTGAGTTGTTTATATTGAGACTGGTCGTTATTTGCCTATATGAAGGGTCGAGATATGGATACCATACACGATCATAGACATCATCAGCGTACCTACAAGTAAATTGTATTAGCCAAAAGGATTTAAGCAGATGAACCATTCAGATTTAAGCAGATGAAACCATACTAATTAATGAAAATATATTACACATAACATTGTGCACATAACACTGATAAATGCATCTTTTTATCAGCTTCCCTCCCTAGTCAACAGTCTCCGCTTCCTTTCCTCTATTTTTTCTCACAGGTTTCCTCTAATCAAAAAAATGTTTACATAGTTTTTTGGCATAATATGTGTGATTGATCAACCGATGAAGACATGTAATTAACTGCTTCAACCAATATATATCTAATGCATGCTTTTTTACAAAATCGGTAGACGTGTGCTTGATTAACTAGTTATACAATCAAGCGCGGATTAGTAGATTATGCAAGTATGCTGAGTATTACAGAATGCATAAAAGTTTATCTATAAAATATTCGGCTAAAGAAATTTGCGTGTTAAAATTAATGTTATCTATAATTATTTACTTTTGTATTTTAAATAATACCCTATAAACCAGAATGTTTAACATATCCGGTTTGTTCTAATTTATTATCCATTTGCATAGCTTGGGACAACATATATTAATAACAAAAAAAAAGAAATAAGTAAGAAATTGAAACCATATTATGACACACAACTTACATTGAATGCGGCAAATGGAGTTCACTTACCTTATTTGCTCATCGGAATTGCTATAATATTCCCGGAAAGACAGCCTCAGTGAACCGGATTGGGTAACATATGTATCATTTCTCAGTGGCCGTATCTCTATAGCTGAAATTAGTGGCACGGTAGCTCCTATCTTAACAAGACAAATATCCAAAGAGTTTGACTTAGCTTTGTGTATAATCTCCTCTCTTGTACCATTTAGCCTTCCTTCCAAATCTATTCTTGCCCACTTATTTGGACCAAGATAGATATCGAAATTCGGTTCAAGATTAAGACCATCATAATTTCCATACACAAAGCTAACCACGATATCATAATTTGTGCCACGCTTAACATCAAGACTATAACAGTTACGTTTTCCCTCTGGAAAGTATCTCATAGTCAAATATTGTCTTGAGAATCTTCTGGCATCTTTCTCCACTTTAGCAATTTTTCCTGTCTCGATGAAATTGGAATCCGATGTGAATGTTAATCCATTAAATGAATTATTGTAGGGAGATTCATCAATAGGTAATCCGCAATCCAAACTGATAAATCCTGTTCAAAACATCAAAGGAATAAATGGGAAAAATGATAAATATATATATATAAGATATCTAAAGTGAAACGAAGATTCTTATTAATGTATAACCATTGAAGAGCTGATGTATTGTTACCTTCTTGTGTTTGAGCTCCAACTATAACGGCAAAGCTTGCAATCATGGCCAACAAAAGATGACTCCTCATGTTGTCTCTCACGTTCATGTTTCTATGGAAGCCAAGAACAAAATAAAAACTTGCTTAGTGAAAACTGCGAACGGTTTGAAAATCAGAAACACATCATGTATACGATTGGAGGGAATAATAAAGATTAAAAAAATAGATCAAATCCGGCGAGAAAATTAAATAATGCATACTTGTGTACATTTCTTTGACACATTCCACGATAAGAAAGTCAAACACGATAGTAGATATCATCAGAATACAACTAAATTGTGTTAGGCAAAGTGCTCAAGCATATGCCCCTATAACTACTGCATTAAAAACGATGATAATGTTTTGGAGCTTCAATTTCGACAACGAGTTGAAACATGAAAAACCAATTCAAAATGGCAATAGCAAAAGTTAGGCTTTCTATTCTTGCGGTTTCTCATTATTTATGTTCGTTTTTGAAAATTTAAATCATAATTTATGCAAATCAACAACAAACAAAAAAAAATCTTTTAATTATATGGATGATGTGATTATTCATTTTTAAAATAAAAATAAAACAAATATTAGAGGGAAAGATAATAATAATAAATGATTAATAGGATACAGTTGGGAATTGTTTTGGTAATTAATTTTTGAATAATCATATGTGATGGATGTATGATACTTACCATGCTCTACACTTTTTTAAGTATATGTTAAGGCTTCGATTGGAGGTGGAATTACATTTTTAAAAACATGATCAATAAAAATCTGCGAAATGAAACATACACACAAAAACGCAGTTTAAATTTTTGATTAAAAAATACAAATAAAAAGTCACACGCAAAAAAACGAGTTATAAGTAGATTAATCAATTCTGCAAAATTCTTTCTATCATTTCGCAACTCTGCAAAATTACTAATCAAAGCTTTATTATTTTTAATGAGATTCTACAATTTTCATTAATTTTCAATGGTATTTTCAGTAATATAACACTATAAGGAATTTCCTCAATAGGAAATCCACAATCCAAACTGATGAAACTTATTCCGAAATAAAAGGATCAATGTACCCCAAAAAAAATGATTAATGTTGTGAAAACTTAGAAACTTTATTAATCACTGGAATGTATATATAGAGTACATAGGGAATCTAGGTTAAGTACAATGCCCTGATGGGCCTAATGGGCCGGTATAAGAGTCCATATATGATATGTGTTATAACACTCCCCCTTGGACGAGTGAACCGGGCCAGCTACTCAATCGGGATCTCGATAATGCGCTGGGGAATGTTGCCTCATTAAAACCTTACCAGGAAAAACCCAGTGGGACAAAACCATGGTGAAGGAAAAAGAGTACAACACGCATTACTCCCCCTGATTGTAGCATCACTGCAGATCTCTAAGTCTATACATTCCTATCTGTTTGACGAGCTTCCGGTGTGTTGAAGTAGGCAATGATTTGGTGAAGAGGTCAGCTGAATTCTCACTGGATCGGACCTGCTGAACGCTGAGAGTGCCGTCCTTCTGCCAGTCTGAGGTTGAGAAGAACTTCGGTAGAATGTGCTTCGTCCGATCTCCTTTGATATATCCTTCCTTGAGCTGAGCTATGCATGCCGCGTTGTCTTCATACATCACCGTGGGCTGTGTGTCTTCGTCCATACCACAATCTCTGCGGATGTGCTGAGTCATGGAGCGCAGTCAGACGCATTCCCTACTAGCCTCATGAATGGCTAGGATTTCAGCATGGTTTGATGAAGTGGCAGTGAGTGTCTGCTTCATTGATCTCCAAGAGATGGCTGTTCCTCCATGCGTAAAAACGTAGCCAGTTTGAGACTTGGCAGTGTGCGGATCTGATAGATATCCTGCATCGGCGAAGCCGACTAACCCATCTTTATTTTGGTTAGTATAGAAGAGTCCTAAGTCTTGAGTACCTCGAAGGTATCTTAGGAGATGTTTTATACCGTTCCAGTGCCTCTGAGTTGGGGATGAACTATATCGAGCGAGGAGGTTCACGGCGAAACATATGTCTGGTCTAGTGTGACTAGCCAGGTACATTAACGCTCCTACAGCACTGAGGTATGGCTTTTCAGGACCAAGGATTTCTTCATCATCCTTTTTGGGACCAAGAGGGTCATCACTTAAGCTTCTAACTACCATTGGGCTGGTCAATGGGTGAGCTTGGTCCATATTAAATCGCTTGAGTACCTTTTCGATATAAGCCGATTGATGCACAAGGATTCCTCCTTTGATGTACTCAAGTTGTAATCCCAAACAGTACTTTGTTTTGCCTAGGTCTTTCATTTCGAATTCTGCTTTTAAGCAGTCGACTGTTTGGGAGATCTCACCAGATGTTCCGAGGATGTTTAGATCATCCACGTATACTGCTATGATTACAAATCCTTTGTTTGAGTACTTCTTGATGAAGATGCATGGACTGATGGGGTCATTTTTGTAGCCTTCTTTGATGAGGTAATCGCTGAGGCGGTTGTACCACATACGCCCACTTTGTTTCAGTCCATACAAGGATTTGTTCAGCCTGATGCAGTATTGATCTCGAGATGCATTTTTGTCTTTTAGTTCAATGCCATCTGGGAGTCTCATATATATTTCGTTGTCCAGGGGCCCATAGAGATATGCGGTTACAACATCCATTAACCGCAGATCAAGATTTTCTCTTATGGCCAGACTTATGAGGAATCGGAATGTTGTTGCATCCACCACTGGAGAATAAGTCTCCTCATAATCGATTCCGGGTCTCTATGAGAATCCTTGTGCTACAAGCCGTGCTTTGTATCGAACGACTTCACCGAGTTCGTTCCTTTTGCGCACAAAGACCCATTTGTGGCCCACTGGCTTGATGTGTGATGGGGTCCGGATGATCGGACCGAACACGTTTCTGAGTTTGAGACTCTTTAACTCCACGTTTATGGCTTCTTTCCATTTTAGCCAATCTGTTCGATGTGTACACTGTGTTATTGACGTGGGTTCTAGATCCTCTTGCGTGAGCGCAACATCAAGTGCTACTTTGTATGCAAAGAGTGCATTTAAGTCGACTTCTTTTCAATTCCATTGTATTCCGGACATATTGTAATTGATGGAGATCTCATTGTTATCTTCTGAACCTGGAGATTCGGCGTCCCGAACTTCCATTGAGGGTTCATTAGATTGAGTCTCAGCCGCGGCTATGTCTGATATTGCAGGAATCCTGGTTTCGGTTATTGCACCTTTCTTTGATTTCCGGGGATTCTTATCTTTGGAACCGAGAGGTCTGCCCCGTTTGAGACGTGGTGCAGACTCTGTAGCAACTTGGGTCTGTCCCGTTGGGACAGCTATTCGTACTGGTGCATTACAAGCTGGGATGTACGATTTGGTTACTTTGGTCGGGTCAGCAAAGGAATCTGGCAATTGATTAGCTAGCTTTTGATAATGAATAATCTTTTGGATCTCTGAATCACATTCTAGAGTCCGAGGATCTTGCCAATTTAATGATGTTTGATTCCATGAAAGATCTTTGACCAGCTTGTTTGTCTCACCACCTAAAGAGGGATATACCGATTCATCGAATTGGCAATCCGCATATCTGGCCTTGAAGAGATCTCCAGTGGTTGGCTCGAGATATCTTATGATGGTGGAAGAGTCAAAACCAACATATATTCCCATCCTTCTTTGAGGTCCCATTTTGGTTCGATGTGGTGGAGCAATGGGTACATATACTGAACACCCAAATGTTTTGAGATGGGAGATGTCTGGCTCATGACCCGAGAGTAGTTGGGATGGGGAATATTTGTGTTCACTAGATGGCCGGATGCATATGAGTTCAGCAGCATGTAATACTGCATGTCCCCATGCTGAGGCCGGGAGCTTTGATCTCATGAGTAATGGTCGGGTTATCCATTGAATGCGTTTAATGAATGATTCAGCCAATCCATTTTGAGTATGGACATGTGCTACAGGATGTTCCACGGTTACCCCCATGGCCATACAGTAGTCATTAAACGCTTGTGAGGTAAATTCACCAGCATTGTCAAGGCGGATAGTCTTTAGTGGGAAGTCAGGGAAATGGGCCCGCAATTTGATGATTTGGGCCAAGAACCTAGCGAAGGCTTGGTTCCGAGAGGACAAGAGACAAACATATGACCAACGGGTCGATGCGTCTATAAGGACCATGAAGTACCGGAATGGTCCGGAAGATGGATGTATAGGTCCACAGATATCGCCCTGGATTCTTTCTAGGAAATGAAGTGTTTGTTTAGAGATTTTAACTGGTGAAGGCCGAGTGATCAATTTGCCTTGAGAACAAGCTGTGCACATGAGGTGTTGAGGATAAGCTCGGTTTTCTTTGAGGGTATGCCCTTGAGAGTTTTGAATTAGTTTACGCATCATATTTGCACCGGGATGACCGAGCCGGTCGTGCCAAATAGTATAATCAGTAAACCGGGCTTTGAGAGTGGTATTAGCTTCAATCATACTGACTTTAGCATGGTAAAGTCCAGTAGAGAGCGCGGGTATGGTTTCGAGGATTTGTTTATGGCCGTCTACGGTTTTAGTGACTAGGAGGGATTCTTTGTTCCCTTGACCTTGGGTTTCTATGTGGAAACCATTCTGTCTTATATCCTTGAAGCTCAGAAGGTTTCTCTTCGAACTAGGAGAATATAGAGCATCTGGTATTTCAAGTTGTGTGCCATTTGATAGCAACACATAGGCATGGCCATATCCTTCGATAAGGTTTGAGGGACCCGCGATGGTGCTAATATTTGCGGTTTGATAGGTTAGGTTTATGAAGTAACTTTTGTTTCTTAAGATAGTGTGGCTGGATCCACTATCTACGACTATGGTTTCCATTTGCTAGTGTGCTTCATTATGAATAGAAGATAGGATTCAGTATTGAGGAATTCAGAAAATATGATAAATCATAAAGTAAAGCAGTGTCTGAGAATAAAGGCAAATGGAAAAAAATGAAACAAATCCCAAAATGAAAAAAATAAAGAACAAAATCAAATTATATCAGAGTTTCAGATGATTGAATTAATCGAGGAGATCAGCTGTTTCATAGTCCATGGGGTCG